AAACCATGGGAAATGAACATGATGGTAATCCATACGACCCCAGTTGTTGAATCAGTGTCTTCAACTTAAACTTTTTTTTAAACCTGCAAACCTTCTAGCCAACTGGACTCACAAAGACTGATTATTTTTTCAAAAATCTTTGTTTGTGTTCATTTGAAGAAAGAAAGTCATACACATCTCTGACAACATAAGGGTGAATATATGATGATAGCAATTTCATTTTTTGGTGGAGTATCCCTATAAAAAGTTAATATACCTGCTTCATGAGTGGTTCAGTGGAGTCTCTGGCTTTTTTGAGCTTGATAAAGAGATGTAGGATCTCCTGCTGACTTCTCTGATGCTGTTCCTCCTGCTCCAATAAAAAGCGCTCCCGCTGTACCTGCCACTTCCTCTTCCTGTCTGACAGGATCTGACAGAGAAAACAGTATGATGCTTGAATACACTTATTGAAGTATTAATCAGACAGGTTAAAGCCTTTTGTATACACTCATATCATACACACCTGATCCAGATTCTCCTTTTCAGCCCTCAGATCTTGCATCTCCTCATCCATGTTTTGTATAATGGCTTCCATCTCTTTGCACTTCTGCTTCTCTGCCCTCTACCGCTGCTCAGACATACACACCTGATCCAGATTCTCCTTTTCAGCCCTCAGATCTTGCATCTCCTCATCCATGTTTGTATAATGGCTTCCATCTCTTTGCACTTCTGCTTCTCTGCCCTCTACCGCTGCTCAGATTGTTCTCCTTGCTTCACAAGCTCTAAAAAACACACATTATCTAGACCAGGGGTCATCAACAATGATGACTTGTTCCATAATTCTTATTCATGAACAACTGGAAAAGTCATGGGGCCTTTGAATATTGTTGTGAAAAATGGGAGACTTAAGAGTCAAAAAGGTTAATCTTCTATTTACCTTTATTTTATATATTTTAAAATGAGAATCTAAATAAGACATCACAAAATAATAAAAAGCAGTTTGAGACAGTTGAGGGTTAAAATGCTCTTATTTTTCTATAGTAAAGTCTAAACCTGAAACTGAGCTGGAGTTTCTGGTGCAGGTGAAACGAGTGATGAATGGAGTGTTTCAGTCTCTCAGGACAGAGTTTGACTCGCAGGAATCTTACAGTGGACACACAGTGCACGAGATTCTCCAAAACACTATCAAGGTACTGTCCAACCAATCAGGTCGAGGTTTGATGACCATGTAGATAATGATTTCTGGTCTTGCTGACGTCTGCTTTTCCTTTGCAGAATATCACCATGAAACTTCTCTCAGAACCTTGGGAGCTTGAATCAGACATAGATGAAGATAAAGCAGAGGAAGAGTACTTGTCTACTGAAGAGTGTTTGCAAATGGAAAACATGCAGAAGAAAAACAATGAAATAGAGGGAAAAGGCCAACATTAAAAAGGAAGTATTTATGTTAACAGAACAATCTGTAGATCAGAACACCTGCATATTGCAGTCTGTTCAACCATTGGCATTGGTTCACATATTGAGACACTAAAGGGGAATTGGTACTGTCCAATCACAGCTAAGGAGGCTAAATAATGTCCAATCAATGGGCAGCTGATCCTTTCCCAATGATACAAAGCAGGCAGTTCTTCAGTCATTCAACTAGAAGAACTCTGATCCATAACAACGGCGTCCTCCTGACTGCATATGACTAACAAGGTTGCAAGTCAAGTAAAGTTAACTAGATTCACATAAATGTAATATTTACTTGAGTATGTTTGAACATTTTTCTTTCAGAAAATTATCTAATTTAGTATTTGGGTTTTATTTATAATTATAAAATATAGGGGTGCGCCGATCCGATATTCAGGATCGGTATCGCTCCAATACTGGCATTTTCTGCTGGATCGGGGTATCGGTCAGACGAGACCGATCCAAATCCGATATAGTGCGTATACTATTCTGTGGTTTTTTAAGCCCCACGAAAGGCACAAAAACATTATAAAGCACCATAAAGTTTCCGTTACAATTTAACCACTGATTTCTAGTCGTGTCCATTTTTGGAAGGCCAAACAAAGTAGTTTCGCTTTCACAACGAAACACACGGTGGGCTGGAGTGAGCGGAGGCCGGCGGGCTTGAGAACAGAGGAGTTTATAGCGAAGGAGTGGCCGGTGGGCTTGCGGCAACCACATGTGACGACCCCGGGCTGGACTCCGCTTCGTCCACGGTGAAAGCCGATCCGGCGATCCACAGCGCTAAGTTGATGTATTTCCTCAGCGACCAGCACGGATCAGCT